CTCGCTCTGTTTCCCAGGCTGGAGTGCAGTGGTGCGACCTTGGCTCACTGCAACCTCTGCCTCCCAGGCTCAAGCAATTCTACTGCCTCAGCCTCCTGAGTAGCTGGGACTACAGGCATGCGCCACTAAGCCCGCTAATCTTTTGGCATTTTTTAGTAGAGACAGGGTTTCACCATGTTGGCCAGGCTGGTATCAAACTCCTAACCTCAGGTGATCTGCCTGCCTTGGCCTCCCGAAGTGCTGGGATTACAGGCATGAGCCACTGTTCCCAGCCTCCACTGAAGTCTTAAACCCCTCAAAACTATCTATGAAGGTTGGAATCAACTTCTTCCAAACTCCTGTTAATGTTGACATGCTGACCTTCTCCCACAAATTGTGAACATTCTTAATAGCATCTAGAAAGATCAGTCTTTTCCAGAAGAGTTTCCATTTACTTTGCCAGGCCCATCAGAGGAATCACTATCCATGCCAGCTAAAGACTTACAGAATGTATTTCTTGAATAATAAGATTTGAAAGTTAAAATTATTCCTGATCCATGGGCTGCAGAATGGATGCTGTGTTAGCAGGCATGGAAACAATGTTCATGTCTTTGTATACCTACATAAGAGCTCTTGGGTAACGAGGTACATTGTCAATGAACACTAATATTCGAAAGGAATCTTTTATTCTGAGAAGTAGTTCTCCACAGAGGGCTTAAAATGTTCAGTAAACCAAGGGATTCCCAGGCAACATGGCCAAATAGGAACAGATCCGGTCTGCAGCTCCCAGTGAGACCAACAGGTGATTTTTGCATTTCCAACTGAGATACCTGATTCATCTCACTGGGACTTGTTAGATAGCGAATGCAGCCCACAGAGGGCAAGCAGAAGCAGGCTAGGGTATCACTTCACTTGGGAAACACAAGGGGTGGGGCAACTCCCTCCCTTAGCCAAGGGAATCCTTGAGGGACCATGCTGTAAGTGACAGAGCTATCTGGCCCAGATACTACGTTTTTCCCATGGT